TTCAGATGAAGCTGTGATTTTTAAAAATTCAAAACAGATTTTTTTGTAATCTGAATTTATTGGTGTGCATGTGTATAAAAGTGTGTTTGTATGTGTGTGGGTGGGTGTGAATTTTTTGCACTCTTGATGTTGTAGAGTGTCACCCCTTCACTGCGGTGTACTTTCTTTTAGAATCGTGGCCGATTTGTAGATTGTACAGACAAAAGCATGGATCAAAAATTCAGAGAATTTTTGTGTTTTTGTAAATTTCCCATTCATTTCCTATGGGTCGGTCATTTTTGACCAAAGACCACGAGTGTGACTATTTTTTTTACGACCACTTAGCATGCTCGGATCATGACCTCATTTTTTTATTTATACATACAATAGATACAGATGTTGAAGAAATGAAGAGCTCTTTTCCAAAATGCGATAAACGCCATTTAAAAAAAATGTGTCATTCTTCTGTGTACAGAACCCATTCACTGCTCTCGCTATATTTCCTTGTTTAAAATGTGCTGCAAGATGCAGTTTCTTTCCAAACCACAATAAGCACTAAACCTATTTTTAGCCTAAACGCGATAAATCCTCGAATTCGACGAGCGTTCTATACGTAATCCAGCACGGCGGCACTCTGAACAGAGGTTTATGTTCATTCATTCCTCAAAATGAGTCCTAGTTTTCTAGTCGACTAGTAGTAGTTAATTTAAGCCATTTGTCTAATCGCATCAAGTTCGTGCTCAAGTTCACACGCGCGCTTCTGTGTCCTGATTATAGGCTATTGTCTGATTTATTTGCTTGTATAATTTAATGTATTAATCCAGTTAATTTGTTGATGAAACATTTATTAAAACGAAGATACAATTTATACAAAACGAAATTCACTTTAAAGACAGGCTTTCTACAAAACAAAACTTAATAAGTGGTCAAAATCATGTCTGACCCACTCCAAATGTTTTCCGAAATATTAGGTAGCTTTTGATCCTATCTTACTCATCTCATGCGGTTCCCTTTTCATATAGCAAAATAATTTCCATCGAGATATCAGGATAATATTAGTGATACTGGCTTTCTTTCATTAAAAAGATGCCATTTAAGATGTAATACTTGAAAATAAATGTTGCCATTGAAGATCAGTCGTCATCGCCCCCCCCCCCCCCCCCCCCCCAAAAAAAAAAAAGTTCAGGCTCAGGAATTGTTTTCACTTTAACCCCTGTTATACTACAACACTTAATTTTGGGGGAGAATATTTTTACATAATTTTTATGATTTATGATGATTGTTATACTACAGTTATACTACACTTATTTTTGAAAAATATATAAATAATTATACAGGGTAGCATTGATGTGTGAACTGAATTTGGCAACAATACAGTAAATTACAGTTAAGTTATTGAAATTTTATTGAAACTGAAATTATTTTTTTCCTCCCAAAATAAGTGTATAATCATAAGGACAGCAGTGATGTGTAAACTGAATTTGGCAACAATAGAAATTACAGTGAAGTTATTGAATATCTTTCATAAAAATCATTAAAAAAATTATCATTTTTGATTGTATACAATTATTTTTTTCCCAAAAGCAGTGTTGTAGTATAACCATCAAGACAACAGTGGTGTGTGAACTGAATTTGGCAACAATGCAGTGTATTACAGTGAAGTTATTTAATATTTTTCATAAAAGTCATAAAAATTGTACATTTTCAATTGTATTTACAATTAAAATTTTCTTTTTTTTCCTCCCAAAATAAGTGTGTGGTGTGTAAACTGAATTTGGCAACAATATACAATTGAAAATGTACAATTTTTATAATTTTATGAAAATATTCAATAACTTCACTGTAATTTCTTTTTTTTATTATTGAATTTTTTATTGAAGTTATTGAATATTTTTCATAAATATAAATCATAAAAATTATGTAAAAATATTCTCCCCCTTGTAGTATAACCAATAGGGCAGCAGTGATGTGTGTTATGTGTGATTGCACGTGTAGGCAAATGCACAGTACATCGTATAAATGTATTTGTGTGTTTTCTGATAAATAGTTTAGTCTATGATTAGGGTAGGATGAAGGGGTACATTAGCCATACTGAATTGAAACCCAACAGTTATGGATCGTATTTAGGAATAAATAATTCACTTATTAACTCATCATCATCATCATATCTTTATTCAGGACATACTTATAAAATGGTCCATAGCACTATACAAAATAAAGTACATTCAAAATAGAAGAAGAAAAAAAACAACAAAAAAAAATGTTAAAAAAAAAAAAAAAATGACTACACAGTCAAAATTACATCTCTATAATAAGAAAAATAACTATCTCTCCGGTTTCATTTTGTAAAGTTAAAATATACCGAACATTACTGTAAATATGGTCATTGCTACGTTATGGGAGCAGTCTATTTCCCCCTTAATCATTCAATTGTACTTGCACAGCGTATTATTTATATTTTATGTTGGTTGTCATGGTTGTAATCCTGAATGGGCCACCACGGCAGACCTCTTTGCGTGATCACGGTAGGCTAATGGCTGAATCGGGATTTATAAGCAAGATCACGGGAATCAATAACCTAATACAGCCCAGTTGTGCTAAAATAAATATCATGAGACGTCCAACTACCAATGCGAACATGAACACAGGCTTTTCCTTCCAAAAATATAGTCTAAAAAACGTATCTAAGTTGTCATCCTGTCTCTCAAAAAAATGCAACACTGACATTAACCAAATGCAATAAAAGCTTAAAAAGTACTTTGGTGTGTGTTTTATTTTATATTTACCGTTTAATAATGCAATCGCTGCTGTCGGTCCATTGAAGAACATGACAGCCCGCATCTGATTTGGAACTATTGGGGCTTCCATGAACCACGTGACAGCCTTGCGGCGACATCAAAGCTTGTCGTAACTCTCAATATATGGCTCTGGGGGAGGGGATATCCGCTCTACAGTAATTTGAAACTGATTGCAGCAGTGGTGGGCCGTCAGGGCCAGCAAGGCCTTCTCTGCTGGCCTAAACACTATCAGAATCACTGGCTTGCATTGTAATATTTTTTTACATGAATGTGTATTAAATTATTCTCAATAGTCTGTTCTCTTAAAGGTTCTCTAAGCGATGTGAGGCCAAACCATTTTTTGTCACATACATCAAACGTCTCCTCACTATCGGCTAGCTGCCTGTCCCCTAAACACACTGTAAAAAAACGCGGTCTCTGTAGACACCACAGGCTCCACAAACGGCAACAAAAACAATCATGTCTCACCCGGACCACGAAACCTAACAAACAGTGTTCCAGCCAATCACTGGCAAGAAGTATTTGAGGGTGGGTCTGGGGGGTTAGTGCGCGTGCACATGAAGGGGGTGTGTGTGTGAAGTAGAGCGAAGCATCAGAGGGAAGTTTGAAAAATGGCCGACACACGACCAAAGAGACGTCGTTCTGAAGAACAAATTAAAAAGAAGGAGTCGGATAAAGAACGTGCGAAGTTCCGAATTTACATCGGTAGCAAAGCTTTTGAATGATGGCGAGAACTCCGGCGGCAGAAGGGCTTCCAGTCCGACATTCAGGTTGCTCTGTTTTTGCTGGACAGGTGGGTAACGTTAAATTGTTTTTTTTTTTTTTCTTCTAAATTGACGCTTATGTTCGCCAAACCCACACAAGGATAAAATTAGCTAGAACTATGCACGTTCACAATTATTTCAGGAAGCACGGAAGGGACGGGGAGGAGATGAGATGCGGAGGAGGGAGGGTCTAGCTAGCCTCCGATTTGTTTGAAAATATTCCGAACGTCAACACCCAGGATCGCTTAGACTAGAGAACCTTTAATTTCATAGCTTTTTTCTTGGTCGCGCTGCTTGGTCGTGCATGCGTGTATTTTATGTTAAGCTTTTATCCAATCATATTTCAGCCACCACGATAAAATAAATCTGCCTGGAGGCCTTCAGAATCAATAGAGCGGGCTCCTGTAGCATAAAAACAAATGGTAATGTAACTGGGCTCTTTAACCAATCAGATACTCAAGCAGATTTAATCAACCAATCAGATTTCGAGATGGCGACACTGGGGCCATCTAGCAGGCTTAGAATAACGTCGGCCTTTTCACGTCCTTCGATTGGATGGCCAGAATCCGTACTATTACTACTAGTCAGTCAGAGCAAACCGCAAACAGCATCTGTAAAATTTAAAAATAATATTAATGTAGCGATTTTAATCATTAAATAACGTTTTTTTATTTATTTTACAAACCACAATGGCTGACAGAGGAGAAGACATTAACTTGTTCGCAGATTTACTTGCAAAGCCATTTTCAAGACGTACTTTTCAAGAGAAGCGGGACATCATAAGGAAAAGGTCGGCCCACCCCGAAACTAGAAAGCCTGTCCCAGACGGGGAAAGGGTTTACCCGCCACTTTCATTGCAATAACTATGAGCGTTACCCTTAGCTCACAGCCTCCGAGGAACACTCCAAATTGTATTGCTGTTATTTGCAGTGGATCGACTTGGTGTTTGGAGCCACACTGGGTTTGCAAACTTGAGTTGTCTAACCAAAGCAGCTGCGCGACACCAGATCGCAGCTGGATACTTACAAGCAACGGTGCTTTTAAAAACTTTTGGGGAAACACACGAGTGGATCTACAGCTCAATGAACAGATGCGCAGGGAAACGGAGCTCCACAGTGAAAAGGTGACGAAAAATAGGGAAATATTGAAAAGACTGATAGATTGTGTGATATTTTTGGGTAAACAAGAACTTTCGTTTCGGGGACACGATGAAAGTGCTGGATCCACAAATAGAGGAAACTATATAGAGCTTCTTTCTTTTCTCGCTGAAAACAACACAGACTTGCATTACACACCACAGAAGGCCTAGGTGTGAAATGCACGGCCCGCCACTGGATTACAGTATCAGTTTTGGCCACAATCTTACATACAGCTCCTTTAAATTAGTTTGTAATCTATATTTACATCTGTTTTAATTTACAAGTTAAGGTAATTTAGGTTTGTTTTATTTGAATAGGTTAGGTATATAAGTTCACCTACTATACTCTTCCACAGTACCGAGCAGATGTTGTGGTCCCCTGTCGTATGGTGGAGATGATCAGGGTTATTCGCCAACGAGACTTCCCAGCATTTGGTGAGCTGACCATGAAAGACAGTAATCAGTTTCATGCCACCTGCCTGGATAGCTACCCACCAATATTCTACCTGAACAACGTATCCCACCGAATCATCAGCCTTGTGCACCGCTACAACCAGTTCTATGGAGAGACCAGGGTAAGCACATTACAACTCAATATTCAGATATTTAATCTTAATCTTGCCAAACTTGCAAACTTGGATAAATCCAGTGATTATTTCATTCTTGAAAGAGCCCATGATGTCAACCTAGTACTATGTAAAAACAACTTTTGACTCCAGGCATATTATGAAACCACTATTCCCTTTACTTTTGAAAGTTGAGCCAAACAGATCAACGCTCACTAGAAAGTATTTCTGTTTGCAATATGCATCAGAAGGTCAGTGAATGGACTGTGGACATGACATCTGAGGTTGAGTCTACTTAAGGAGTCTTGCAACCTCTAGTAAAGACATCAAATGACCAAACACAGCTGATGTTCATCTAGTTCATCTAGTCTAAAACTGATTGTAAGGAGGTCATAGTATAGTGTTAGATGCTGTCATCATGCTGTCAATGGATCCCGTTTCTTTACCAAATCTCATTAAAAGATATGTTTTTGTCTGATACCTAAATCCAGTTATATATACAGTATCCAAACTATCCAAATACAGATTCTTTATAAGCAGCTTTACAGTGATAAAAGGAAAATAATGCAACAAAGTTTGTTTCTAGAAGAAAATAGCGTCATAGTCCAGCTTAAGTAAGTTCAGTGATGGTTACATTTTGTTGTAAAAAAGTGATTTGTTTAGTTCATTAATATAAGAGGCTGCAACGTCAAGTTAGCAATGTGAGAAGAACTAATATTGTTGTGTGTGCGTGAGATGCCAGCGCGATCACTTGGATTCCGTATATCAGTGGAAACAACTTAAAATAGTTTGATAAAAGTAAGACATTTAAAATGGTAAGGGTCTACTTTCATTTGTGAACCTTCAAAATAACAGTAAAACGTTGTACTTTTGTATATATATATATATATATAGAAACCTTGAAGTGCCTACGTTTAAGTTTCTACACTTTATTTGACGTTAAATGCATACAAGTCAGTTTGGAATATAAATCATTGGGTATATAGCGGGTGAAAATGTCTTGTAGAATTTTGTTAACATATAACAGTAAACTATTTAATATTAAAGTCTGAATGGAACCCATTTAGGCTACCCATGAACATTAATGCAGGAAGAAGTACTTTAGAAACCAGCCTTTATTAATTATTATGGCAGAAATGGGGTTTGGGGCTGGGTCAGTGGGACTGTTTCTGGGGGATGAGTCTGAGGGAAGAACAGGAGACATGGGTAAGGAAAGTGCAGAAGACAAAAGGTAGGTGAAATAAAAAGTGTCTGGATCAGAAAATCTAATTACGTACACAATGCACTCAATGCCCAAACCCCATCTCTGCAATAATAATTAATAAAGGCTGGTTTCTAAAGTACTTCTTTCTGTATTAATATTCATAGGTAGCCTAAATGGATTCAATTCAGACCTTAACATCAAGTCTTTTAATGTTATATGTCAACAAGATTCAAAAAAACATTTTCACCTGCTATGCTCAATGTTTAGATCTGTTTGGGTAATTATGCAAATTAGCTAATACGTAATTATATTATGCACCGTTTGTCCAAGTTAACAAACAATTTCAAAAATCTTGTAATACATTTTTGTTTTTCTTGATGTAAGTAATCAACTCAGTGATTTTCATGATGATATCTAAACCCTCTGGGCTTCTTCGTTCAAAAATGACCGAAAACTACGGAAGCCCTGAACCGCGACCTAAAAAAAAAAAAATCAGTAAAAAAAAAAAAAAATCTAGCATTTCGAGATTAAAGTCGAAATGTTTCGAGATTAAAGTCGAAATGCTTCGAGATTAAAGTCGGAATGTTTCGAGATTAAAAGCTCGCTTTCGCAGCTTCTACGCGATAGCGAGTGTGCGAATGAATGAATGAATAGGGCATTTATATAAATCTCGAAACATTCCGACTTTAATCTCGAAACATTCCGACTTTAATCTCGAAACATTTCGACTTTAATCTCGAAATGCTAGATTTTTTTTTTTTTTTTTTTTTTTACAGTTTTTTTTTTTAGGTTGCGCTTCAGGGCTTCCTTAGAAAACTGTTACGTTTTGAAATGTTTAATTTTTTTGCTACATTGGATGGGGCTGAAACTTGGTGACTTTTGTTGTATATATGAACACACAAAAAAAGGAGATGATTCTGATTTGTTAAAGGGTCGTAAAAAAGTCACACTTAGCTTCCTCCCGGTCAAAAATGACCGACATAGGAAATGAATGGGAAATACAAAAAAACAGGAAAAGTCAGAGAAACTTTTGGTGGTACAAGCTACAGATCAGCAACTGTGCAGAAAAAAAGTGTACAGCAATGAAGGGGTGACGCTCTAAAATATCAAGAGTGCAAATAAGACCCCCCCCCCCACACACACACACACGCACACAAACACACACACATACACAGAAAAACTGGCAAGACTAACAGTAAATTTTGGATATAAAAGCAAGCAAGTTTGCGCCCGTTCTAATGATTCTGCGCCCGGTTCCATGATTCATAGCGGGTTCAACTGACTGGATGGTTTTCTACTTCCTGTTGAAGTATTTGTTTACATAGAATGCTAGCACTCTAGTCCAGACCACTCATCTAGAATGATAAATTATATAGATCAGTGGTCCAGACATTAGAAAAATATCAAAAATGTAGACTACACATGAGTTTTATATTCACGTACATGACCATTCTGAAAGTGACTTTAAAACTTTTACAGAGATCTTAAAGAAAGACCACAAAGAAACCTTTCTTTAAAGTGAATTTCGTTTTTAACTAATTGTATCTTAATTTCAATCAATGTTTCATCAAGCAATTCCCTGGTTTTAATAAATAAGAAGTATATAGTAAACAATAGATGATCATGACGGAGGCGACAGCGCGCAAACTGGACTTTGGTCTCATGAATGAAACTCGGCGTATGCCTAACCTCACAGGCCTGAGAAATATATAGACTATGCATCTTTGAAAGCAGAGGTAGACAGGAGTCAAAGGGCTAACCAGCCTAAACTTATAGTACTGTTATTCTGCAGCAGTCGGAGTGATAGAAACGGTCGGATGTTTGCTGGATTAGGGAGATCGTGCAGTCATGCATCAGCTATCCTTTGGAAGTTATGAAGCAAAGAAAAATGTTAATTTTGTTTTTATCTGTGATGTAATAAAAAATAACGTGATCAGATCACATTTGATGAATGTTTTTTTTTTTTTTTCAATTTAGTTTAGCAATGTGGGTATGACACAATCTAAAACAAATGGCCAAAAAGCATAGACCAGACTCAAACCGGAAGTTGACAACCGGAGTCGTCGTCATGGCAGCGCGCATTGTTTAGAGTAGAAAAAGGTGGATAGGCCTACACAAGTGAATGCCAGCAATCATTCAGTCATTAATGAATGCACATAATGTGCAAACTAATAAAAACATACTATGAACTTTATGAAAGGATACACAATTATATTTTAAGTTTGCGCTGAAACTATATTTACCTTTTTTTTAAATAATCCATTAAACCTCCTGAGAAACAAAAGCGTGAACTAGAATGTGCATATATATACTGTATATATATATATATATATATATAATTTTAAAAAGTGTTAGCCCACAGATAGATTTATGAGGGTTTTTTTAATTTATTGCAATCAACAAATGATAACAGTTAGGAGCTTAGCGAGGTGTACGGTGGCCGAGAGGTGCAAAACAAATCACAATTATAAAAGTATGGTGGCCGAGAGGTGCAAAACAAATCACAATTATAAAAACAAAAAAACAAGTCAGAAAACACAACGACAATTCAGAAAACAAAATAACAATTCAGAAAACACAACAACAAATCTGAAAACAAATTAACAAATCAGAAAACCAAAAAAAAATCTGAAAACAAATTAACAAGTCAGAAAACACAACGACAAATCTGAAAACAAATTAACAAGTCAGAAAACACAACGACAAGTCAGACAAAACGGAAAAGGTAGGTATATGTGGCGAATGGAATACTGATCGCTGATTGGACGAGACATCTGTCAATCAAGACATACAGGCAGAAGAAAGATTGATTCGCGTGTGCATGTGTAAATATTAGCTGTATCGTCTAGGCTAGGGCTATTCAATTGGCGGCCCGCGGGCCAAGTGCGGCCCGCCAATCATCTCCATGCGGCCCGAGAGCACTCCAACCTCCCCCTCCTATTTTCTGGTGGTGCGGCTAAATTTGGTTTGATATGCGCGTGGCCGCAGTGGCGCGTGCAGCTGTATACGCACTGTGTGTGTACCACGAGCGCTCCGACTGACCTGAGAAAAACGTTTTCAGTCCGAATATTTCAGCAGTTAATATGTGTGTCCCGTATTTCTGTCGACTGAACCAGCGATATTAATCATTCGTTGGTTCGATTCCTATCTCCTTTTCACGAATTGGCCAAACGCGCGTGCATAACAGTAGGAAACGATTCGGATTCGTTCGGACCGTTCTGTCACTGAATCATCTGAAGCGGTTTCTCGGTCAGTAAGAACAAATAGAGAACAAAATAGCGCTGGGTTCAGTTGTTTCACTAGTTTACTTTGAACTAGGCAGCGCGGTCCAGTGGATAACCGAACGCAAGCTTAAAGGAGTTGCGTTTACTAATAGTGGTAGGAAGATTTTAATTTGAAAAGTTTTGTTCTCCATAATATCACTAAATTAGCCGGCTAAATAGACAGCTAATATTTACACATACACATGCGAATCAATCTTTCTTCTGCCGCAGGCGCAGTCTGCTGTAGCTACTTTCTGTGTCTTGATTGACAGATGTCTCGTCCAATCAGCGATCAGTATTCCATTCGCCACATATACCTACCTTTTCCGTTTTGTCTGACTTGTCGTTGTGTTTTCTGACTTGTTAATTTGTTATCAGATTTGTCGTTGTGTTTTCTGACTTGTTAATTTGTTTTCAGATTTGTTTTTGTGATTTGTTAATTTGTTTTCAGATTTGTTGTTGTGTTTTCTGAATTGTTATTTTGTTTTCTGAATTGTCGTTGTGTTTTCTGACTTGTTTTTTTGTTTTCATAATTGTGATTT